ATGAGAGTTCCCCCGTTGGCGTGCGGTGCGCGGCGGGGGAGGGGTCGGGCTGTGATGACGCCTTATCGATAAAGCTTGCGTGAGGTGCTGACTGATCGGGGTCGAATCGTGTTAGTCGACCGAGAAACCTTTCGTTTTTCTCGTCTATCTCGCCTTCTGGTCTGCGGTATTGAACCTATTGTGCGAGAGTATCGCACATCGCACTCGACGGAGTCTCACGGGGCCGCATGCGATGGGTTGATGGATCGGGGTTGAGGTGCATCTCAACCGAGAGCCCCTCGTCTTCCTCGTCTTCCTCGCTTTTTCTTCTTTTTCTGCAGTTTTGAACCTTTCATGCGAGACCATGTACAGTACGCGACTGACTCTCTTAGGAGACTTCTGTCCGCATGTGATGATGGACTGACTAACCACCGGAGGCGAGTGCCGCAACTTCACTTCGACGGTTATCCGTCAACACCGGAGGCGCAGCAATCCGGGATGAGTGCCCCGGATCCGACCGCATTCGAGCTCGGCATGATGACTTGCATAACATCGTCTTAAGAAAGGCCAGGCACACACAACAGCTGATCGGCGCGGGATCCGACCGAGTGGATGGGTTCAGGTAGCTGTCAAAAAAGAAGCCTGGCCGCCCGCCCGACCTTCCGGCGCGGGTGCAAGCGCCGTTCAGCAGCAGCGTGGATGGTGGGTGGGCTGGGCATAAGACGGTCAATGCCGGCGGCAAGGAAGTAGAGTACTGACGGGCGAGTTGTTCTCTTGTTTGAAACCAATGCCGTGGTTTGGTTTCTGTGTGCGTGCAGAGAGTTTCGAATCCGTTCCCCCGTCCCCCTCACCTCACGAACCCTGCGCGTTGACATGCGTTTGGGGTTGCTTAATCTGGAAAGATGATGGGTGGTGTTCGGCGGCGGGCCAACGAACCATCATACATCGAATTCGTATTCGTTTGCCTGTTGGGGAACCCTTTTTCGAGAAGCTTGCAACGCCGCTGCAGCAGCGTTGCGCGGCCTGGCGTCAGTCAGTGGTTAGAATAGATATTGGCCTTGACCCTCGAAATAATTCCTCTAGTGCATCTTCAACTTCTATTCATCGCCGTAGAGCTCACGCTGGTAGACAATACACCCGCCAAGATGGCTTTGAGTTACGGGAGTCTTGCTCTCTACGCAACCGCATTCACCTTCATCTACGTGAGTGTGAATCCACATACTTCAAGACCACCAATCTGACCGCGTTGCAGTACTTCCTCCTGGGCATATACAATGTCTTCTTCCACCCGTTACGCCACTACCCGGGCCCTCTCCTCTGGCGAGCCAGCCCGCTCCCCAAGAACATTTACATGCTCCGCGGCCTATACGCCAAGAAGGCGCGAGAGATCCACGAGACGTACCAAGGCACCGTCCGTGTAGCGCCCAACGAGCTCTCGTACATCCAACGTAAACCAGCTCCCCCAAACCCCGTCCGCTTGCAAACCAGCACCGGTAAAAGCTAACACACCCACGCACAAAAACAGCACAAGCATGGAAGGACATCCTAGGCCGCCCGCTCAAGTCCGAAATGTACAAAGACATGCGCTTCTTCGGCGGCGACGCCTTCGGCCGCGACAGCCTCGTCACCACGCTCCCCGAGGACCACACCCGCATGCGCCGCATCTTCAGCCACGCCTTCAGCAACACCGCGCTCAAGGCGCAGGAGCCGCTGCTCGTAAAGTACGCCGACCAGATGGTGGACACCATGGGCGCCCTGGCCAGCCGCAACGACGCCCGCGCCGTCAACATCGTCGACCTCTTCAACTTCTGCACCTTCGACGTCATGGCCGACCTCACCTTCGGCGAGCCGCTGCTGCTGCTCGAGCGCGGCGACTACCACCCGTGGGTGCACGGCCTCTTCTCCGGACTCAAGTACGTCATCTACGGGGTGGTGCTGCTCGAGTTCCCCGTGCTGGGCCCGCTGTGCGAGCGCGTGCTCGCGGCGCCGATGAAGCGCGCCGCGCAGGACCACATGGACTTCGCGGGCGCGCTGGTCGACCGCCGGCTGGCGCAGAAGGACCACCCCAAGCCTGACATCTGGAGTTTTGTGGTGAAGCACCAAGGGGACGAGAAGGGGCTGAGTGACAGGGAGATGCATGCGAATGCGGCCATGTTCATGGTTGCCGGAACGGAGACGACGGCGACGGTGCTGTCGGGCGTGGCGTACTACCTGCTGCGCAACCCGGCGGTGCACGCGCGCCTGACGGCGGAGATTCGCGGCGCCTTCGCAAGGACGGAGGATATCAACACGGATAGGTTGGTGCAGCTGGAGTATTTGAACGGGGTGCTGATGGAGGGGTTGCGGATTTATAACCCGGGCGGGTCCGGGATGCCGCGGATCGTGCCGGAGGGCGGGGCGGAGATTTGCGGGGAGTTCATCCCAGGCGGCGTACGTTGTTGAAATTCCCCTGTCGTGTAAGGTATTGGGGCTAACGTGTGAGAGTAGACCTGGGTCTCGGTCAATCCGTACGTCGCCTTCAGCCACCCGGACAACTGGGCGCGGCCGACCGAGTTCCTCCCGGAGCGCTGGATCCACCCCGACGATCCGGAGTGGAGGGACGACAAGAGGGAGGTCCACGAGCCGTTCTCGTACGGGCCGAGGAACTGTTTGGGAAAGAAGTGAGTTGCAGTTACCCTCTCCTTACACACGCCCCTGTATCCCTGCAATTGGAGTAGTTCGACGGGCTAACGCGCATGTCTAAAAGTCTTGCTTGGCTTGAGCTTCGGCTGATGCTGGCCAAGACGCTCTGGCACTACGACCTGGAGCTGTGCCCGGGCATGGAGAAATGGGTCGATCAGAAGAGTTACCTCACGTGGGAGAAGGGGCCTTTGATGGTGAAGTTGATCCCTGTTAAGAGAGACTAAAGACAGATTATGGGGAGTAGAGGCTGGGTCCCTGGCTTGGATAGGCTAATTATGATCATGAACATTTCTCTTGGATTATGACACTGTTGATGCTATGCGTGAGGAGGGCTATCTACGGATAGAGACGACAGAGACGACAGGATTCTACCCATGGAGAAGAACTTTTCGTAGCCTGCACTTTAACTAAATAAGCACTGCTCTACCACAGCTTCACGCCTCTAGGTATTTTGCCCTCATCGCCATCGCCTGATATGACATCCGCTCCCAAGTTTTCCGGGCCAAGTGACCCTTACCCAAACAGTATATGACTACGCCGTGCAAAGAACCTAGAAGCACCCCATCAACCAAAATGACAAATACGTTCTCGAAACTGACGGCCTTCTCTTGACTGGTGTCAGACATTGGCGCGACTGGCTGGCCATGAACCGGCGTCCGTCCTGTGATGGAACGCACCAATGGCTTTGGTGCAGTTTCACACTCGTCGCCCTTACGGATGCACAAGCGGAAGTGTTCGATGACGAGGTTCCTCGGTCTGTGATTGGAGCGTTTTTGGGTTCGTGCAGGTTGTGACTTCGGATGAACGCGTTCGTGTGGGAGGCCGGTGCTGGCCTTCGGACGAAAGTGTGGGAAGATGTCCTCCACGTTTGCCGCAGGATCAGGTCCGGCTGGACCCGTGTGGGATACCGATTAATGAACATCTATATACATGGTAGAAGGCTAATACTCAACAGAAGGTTTGTAATGATGGCGACGATGACCAAGTGATTACCATCGTCCAGTAGAACATCATTCACGTGCGATCCTAGCCACTTCACGAGCAGGGCTACATTCAGTTCAGCAACAATGTCTAGCAATCAGAATTCACATTTGCTTCACAAAATGTAACCAACCGCTACCTCTTCTTAAATACCTGTCTAAGCGCCTTTCAACACACATCGTGAGTGTCGGTTCCTGGACAGTGTGTAAACCTGTCTCCAAGCAATGAGATTTGGTGGCCATCACCAGGGGTAGTCGTTCTTGGACGACCGGTTCCTTCCACCAGATAATGGCATATCGCTTCCGGCTTCTACGAAACTTCCTTTCGACTAATACAGGGCTTGAATTTGATTATTGTGTGTATTCTGATGCGATATCCGGAAGTTCCAGAAGGAAAACGACGAGAGCCGATACCGAGACTTCCGCATGGGCTTTGCCCTTGACATTAAGCCACCGCAGAATCAATGCGAAGTCGGGGTCTAGACTAACGCGAAAATCACGTCACACACAGTGAGTGGGGTGGAAACATTGCTTTTCAGGTTCTTGACCGAAGAGAAAAGCCTTCTTTTATGTGGTCTGCGATACAAGAGGAGAGGTCATTGCGTCAAAAATGAAGGTAGCTACTGCGAGACAACATAAACAGCATCAGTCAACGAGTATTTAAAACCCTGTAGAGAATAAATCCAAAATTCCAAGCGGGCAATTTGATCGAAAAAACAACTCGAGGTAGGTTATACCTGCTTGCACTGAAATCGATGCCCATAGCAACGTCTCATACGTACGATGTGACCTTCCTGATTTTGAGGATATCATATTATGATGGTAAATACTGGAATACCCTAATAGAAAGGTTGAGTAGTGATGTCAAAGGTCATCATCTATGTCATTTGAGTTGCCATACACTTTCGTTAACCACAGGTTCTGAGGGGCCTGACATGATGTGACGCCTCGGCGATCAGTTCCAAGTTGAAGAGATGAGAAACGCCTGTAATTGCTGAGCAAAATAAATCCACGAGGTAGCGGGATAAAATAGCCATCGTCAACCCCGGAAGCAAATTTCACATCCGTGTCCGCTTGTCAGACGCAAGCCGTTCATAGGACAGCACATTTGCAGCGGTCAACACCAAGACCCTGAACACAGAGACCGCCGACTTTCTCTACATAGACACAATCAGATTTGTTGTGTCCAAAGTATATCAGAGGCCTGGAGAGTTTGATAAAGTAAATTTAGAGACTACGACGACAGTAGCATCAGAGCCATAGTGAATACAGTCGCATAGCACAACAGCAAAAGCACGCAGCCTCTTAAAATATGTCCATCGAAGAGAAAAGCTCCTTCAACCACCGCTATCTCCTAAACTAGTAGACTCCAATAGCCTCACCAACGACGCTCTTGAAGACTCCATTAGGATCAAACTGCTCCCTCACAGCCTTGAAGCGAGCAATGTGCTATCACCAAGTCAGTCTCTGTACTTCTCCAATAAACCGACAGGAAAGACTTACATCAGGATCCAAATTCTTTGTAGCGTTCGCAAAGATCTCCCTCGTGTTTTTGGTCCAGTGCGGGCGGCACGGGAACTCGTCAATAAGGACCTTGGCAAGGTTGTGATCTGTACGCAGTCAGCACCCCATCCTTCTCACATCCAAAACAGAGAACTCACAAAACGGCTCGTTGAACCGGCTGTGATCCCCCACAGTAGTCCTAAACGTCGGAAAATCAAACATGATAGCCCCCTTACTCCAGTCCGCGCCGTCGCTCGTGTTCGTCGCCACCTGGCTCAAAAATCCCTCAAACGGCCGCCCGAACTTGATGTTAATCCCGCTCCGGTACGTCGACGTCATCACGACAAGCTTCTTCAGCTCGTCGTCAAAAAGCTGCCGCACGCGCCGCAGCATCGCGTTCGCCTGCGTGATCGGGAACGCCAGCTCCATCGTGTAGCCCTGCACGCCGACCTCCCACAGCGGGCGCTGGTCCGGGTACAGCCCGCCGATGAGCACGTCGTAGTTCCACCCGTAGACGGGCCACGTGTCGATGGCCGTGTTGGTAGTCTTCTCGCGGAAGTTGGGCTTGGACCAGAGGCCGAAGAAGATTTCTTCGGCCAGCATGTTGGACGTCGGCAGGTAGCGCCCGCTGTCGAGGAGCGTCTTGGCCGTGTTGCCCTCGAGGTCCGTGACGGAGAAGGTGTTTTGGAAGCCCTGCTGCTCCGAGATGTTGGTGGGCACGACGTCGTAGTAGCGCCAGTGGAACTTGCGCTTGTAGGGCCACCACTAGTTGGGGTGAGCTGTTGGGAAGCCTGGTGTGTTTGTATGTTTGACTTACCCAGAAGTTTGCCGTCGCGTAGGGGGAGATCATGCCGTATATGTCGCCATCAAGGACCTCATCTTCTTCCAGACTGCGTCCAGTCAGACCTATCATAATCCCCAAACAAGGGATAAAAAGGCAAAACTTACGTCTTCTGGTCAGCATAGACCTTAAAGTCAGGATAAATCCTAAACTTCATCCGCACAATAACCCCCAACAGCCCCAAGCTAGTCGACGCCGCCAGCCACTCGTCGCTCCCCTCATCCTTGACCACATGTCTCATCTCCCCATTCCCATCCACGATATCCAGCTCCAGCACGCCCGCCGCCACCATCGAATCTTCCCGAATGCTCGACCGGTGCGCGCCCATCGCCACGCACCCCGCCAGCGTGATGTTCCAGTTCACGAGCGTGTACCCCGCCGACGCGCCGCGCGCGTGCAGGTACTCGGCCAGCTGCAGGAACGTCACGCCCGCCTCGATGACCACGGTGCCGCCCTCGAGGTCGAACTCAGAGATGCCGTTGACCTCCTCCGTGCGGATGATCACCGTGTTCGCGTCGTCGGAGCACATGGTGTCGTACCACATGTGGCCCTTGCCCGAGGCGCGCACCTTCTGGCCCGCGGCGACAGCGTCCTTCACGAGGGACTGGATCTCGGCGACGGAGGTCGCGTTGTGGACGGTCGCGACGTCGTTGCAGGCCGGGAAGCCCGGGCCGTCGAAAGTGTTGTAGGGGGCTGCCAGGGCGAGGGGGAGGGCGGCGGCTGCCGCGAGGAAGGGGAGTGGTTTCATTGTTGCGGTAAGAGGGGATGGATATCTTCGTAGGACGAAGAGGGTGGAAAGATCGAGGAAGGAGTTTGAGATCTCCTTGGCAGGAGAGGGATGGATGGCGTGGAATCTGGGATGAACTGGAGTTCACTTATACCACTTCATCTCCCCATCTCGTATATACGACCGCATGGTAAACTACGCGATACCACAATCCCCTCTCCATCAACCGCGGAACGACCAGAGCACAAAAAGGTTTTCATGTGATGCCGGCTCTTCATCACCTCTCAACAATAAAAAATCCCCTCACAAACCAGGAACAAGCATTCCCATAACGTCACGCAGCATCCAGGACAGGAACATCACGTAACATTGGGAGATGTAAGTCACCCACAAGAGCAAAGATGGTCCCCTCGCGTACACACTCAAAGCGTCCGCAACTACGGAGAAAGAGGGCAGCAGACCACCATCATCTGCAAGCCAAGACAGACCAGGCAGCCTGACAGAGAAATTGGAGCCGATGGGCGATGTAACGGTGCGGTGGCAGCGGGCCAAACGCGGGGTTGGGGGGAGAGGAGAGGGGGAAGGGAAGGGAAGATCCTTATTTCTGTCTAGTTTCCTGGTCAGATTCACTCGCTGTATTTTGTGCGTGTGCCGAGCCAAGACGGAACCATGCTTATTCGTGAGCGATGTACAGCATGCCGAGCAGAGGTCTTCACAACTCCGTTACCACAGGTCGCTCTACATGACTGATGGTGATGGTGGTGTTGAAATTGGCTTTTAAGAAAGTCAACGGCGCTCTCAACTAGCGCAAGGTCCGCAACCGATGGACAGGGGAACGGGCAGATTCTGGGGTAGACCGGGGGAAGATTAAGTTGATGGTTGGCTGTCACTGGAAGAAGAAGGTGTGTGGGCGTGTAAGCGCCGGCCCCTTTCGGGAGGGTGGGGTTCGGGTGACCGGACCAGTTTTCGGCCGCATCGCCGATGTGCTCCGCAGGGAAGGCTTTCCTGTGTATTTGTTTACTTCCAATATTTCAAAATGCGCCTGAAGCTAGGAGAAAAGACATAGTCATGGAAGTAGAGAGCGATAGTTGAAAGTTCACCATGAACCATTATGTTTCCAATCCAATCCTGACGGGAAAAAGACCACATCGTCACAGAGTTCATCAGAAGCAGAGACAATAATCATTATGAACCGAAGAGGCGTAGGTAGGGGAGCGTAGGGTGCCCGAAACATCTATTCTTCTCTACCGACAAAAGAACACACAATAAGCTACAACACAACCCCAATATTACCAAAAAAAGTCGACACAGTTTTGAACTGTTCGCCTTTCTTTTCAATGCATCATCCAATTAGAAACAAAAAAAGTTTACAAACCATCTTCTCGTTTCCCTCCCCCTTTCTCTCTTCAAACAATACAAACATCTCTCTCACGCACACCATCGGAAAAACCACTTGTAAAACTGTGACAAGAATTAACTCCCCGAGATCTCTTTTCCATGCGAGCTTTGGGATCTGATGCTTATTGACTTCGTAAACTTGTCGTTGAAAATCATCGCTCTCAGGCCGTGGGCAGAGGGAAGGGGAGGAGGGTGGTCGACCCGATGTACCAGGAGCCCGTGGTGATGCGGCAGAACTCGCCGGTCGGGGTGGGCTGGCCCTCGGTGTAAAGGCCGGGGGGCAGGGTGAGGGTGCCGGCGACGTTGGGGGTCTGGGAGGGCACCAGGCCAGTGCCGGTGACACCGGGGTTGGTGATGACGGTGCTGAAGGTGAAGGAGGCGGTGGTGTCGATGCCGGCGCTGACACTGACGCTGACGACAGTGGAGATGGATCCGGCGTCGATGCGAATGTAGATGCTCAGGAGAACGCCTGCAGGAACAGCCTGGCGCTTGGCCACCGAGGAGCGACCACCGCAGCGCTGGAGAGGGTTACCAGGGCACTGGGTGTTGCACTGGTTCTCGGAGACCTGCTGGGTCTGGGTGTTGTCGATGAAGCTTCCGCAGTAGCAGTCAGTGCCGAAGACACCAATGAGCTTGCTTCCACCGCAGGCGGCGATACAGCTGTCGATGGTGAGGGCGTTGTCCTGCTTGACCAAGAGGAACGAGGGGAAGCCGCCGCCGGAGCTGAAGCAACCCAGGGAGGCGTAGTCTCCAATGGTACCAGGGTTGGGGGCGACGGTGGTGACGGCTCCAGAGCTGGTAGCTGTAGCGCCGGTGTCGGTGCCAGACGGGCCGACGACAGAGGTGCCAGAGGGACCAATGATGGTAGTGCCGGATGGGCCAACAATGGTGGTGCCAGAGGGACCGACAATGGTGGTGGCGCCGGTGCCGGATGGGTTGGTGCCGGAAGTAGGAACGACTCCGGAGGTGGGGACGACTCCGGAGGTGGGGACGACTCCGGAGGTGGGGACGACTCCGGAGGTGGGGACAACGCCGCTAGTAGGGATAACGCCAGACGTAGGAACGCCGCTGGTAGGAATGACGGGCGTGGTGGAGGGACCGGTCGTGGTGCTTCCGGTTTGCAAGCACTGAGAGCCTGGCATTCGTTAGCAAAAGGACACGTACGTGACCTATTTCCATGTACTTACTGGGGACGACGTTGAACGAGACAGTCGTGCAGCCGCTGGGGACGTTTCCAGCAATGGCAGGGTTGGCGAAGGTGGCATAGACCTGGCCAGTGGCGTCCTGGCAGAAGCCAGCCTGACCGCCGAAGAACGAAGGGTTGGTCCAGGCGAAACCGCTGCCGGTGACGGCGGTGAAGGTAGCAACGATGGATCCAGTCTGCCCGGTGCGGAGCGGGGCGAAGACAACACCGGGGTTGATACCGAAAGCGGCGCCGTCGATGGTGAGAGTGCCGGAGGCGCCGAGCCTGAAGACGGAAGCCTGCTGGCAATTGGTGGGGTTCGGGCTGCCGACACGACCGACGTAGGTGACGGCACCAGTCTGACGCTTCGCGACCTCCTCGATCTTGCGCTTGAGGATGGCACGCTTGACGGGAGGCTGGATAGAAGTGGTGTTGGCGAAGTTGAACGTGCTGGTGGAAGGAACGCTGACCGGAGGAGAAGTGATGGACAGGCTTGAGGTGGGGATAGTGATGATCGGGGAGCTTGAAGCAGCAGAAGAGCTGGACACGGCAGCGGCAGAGCTGGAGGAGGCAGAAGAGGCAGAAGAGGCGGAGGCACTGGAAGCGCTGGAGGCAGACGAGCTGGAAGCACGAGAGCTTGAGGAGCTGCTGGAGGCGGCGGAGCTGGAGGAAGCAGAGCTGGCGCTAGAGGACGAGGCGCGCGAAGACGAGGCCGAGCTGGAGACGGAAGAGCTGGGGGCACGGCCACCGACAATTGCGAGAATGAAGTCAGTGGCGCTGGCTGCTGCGGGAGAGGAGACGGCGGGGCTGCTGCCGGCGGAGGAAGCGGGGGTAGCACCAGCAGAAGAAGCACCGGTGGAAGCACCAGCAGAAGAGCCCGCAGACGCACCAGTAGAAGCACCGGCAGAAGAGCCCGCAGACGCACCAGTAGAAGCACCGGCACCAGTGGAAGCAGCGGAGGAGCCAGTCGACGCACGAGAAGTAGCAGCGGAAGATCCAGTAGAAGATCCACCGGCGGCCGTGCTGGCAGGAACAGACGCTCCAGGAGGCGCGGTGTTGACGGCTACGACAGGGAGGGAAGACTGCGAGAGGGTGACACTGGCCTGCTGGATGGCGACCTGGCTGGCGGGAATAGCCTGCGCAATGGGGACGGGGTCGAAGGTTCCGGTCTGGCGCTTGGCGTTGTTGGAAGCCCTGCACTGCGAGGGGTCGATGAGGGGGAGGTCGGTTCTCAACGTGTTACCGCAGTTGCAGATACCACGCTGGGATCCAGACATGGAGAGGCTCTTGCCCGCGCAAGTCGACGCACAAGAACCGGGAGTGAAGGCGGTGCCAGGCTCAGCACCGGTTCCATCGGCGAACGGCGACTGTCCGGCGGGCACACCTCTGCAGCCCTGGGAAACGATGACAAAGTCGACCTGCTGTCCATTGATCGTGAGCGTGGACACGATGGCCTCACCGGGCTGAATGTTCAAGAAGTTGTTAAAGGGCTGGGGATTGGGGCTGAGCACGGCGATGCTTCCGCCGGGGGCGCTGGAGGCCGACGCCGAAGCGCTCGCAGACCGAACGGAAGACGGAGTGGATCCGCCCGAGGAAGCGGGGGTCGAAGCGGCGCCGCCGCCACCGGGAGAGGAGCCGGCAGGGCTGCTGGCCGGCGGGGCCTGACTGCTAGCTCCCGGGGCAGAGCTGCTAGCTCCCGGGGCAGAGCTGCTAGCTCCCGGGGCAGAGCTGCTAGCGCCCGGAGCAGAGCTGCTGGCTCCAGGGGCAGAGCTGCTGGCTCCAGGGGCAGAGGAGCTAGCACCAGCGCCGCCAGTAGAGCTCTGGGCCGGGGTCACGCTGACGCTGGGGGTCACGCTACCGCTGGTAGAGGCCGGAGCCGCGCCGGTGGACGTAGAAGACTCGCTCTGGCTACCAGTGGAGGTGGAAGTGAGGCTGACGGTTCCAGAAGTGGAGCTGTGGCTGGAGGTGCTGCTCAGAGTCGAGCTGCTGTTGGTGAACGAGAAGGTGCTGCTCTCGAGGTCGGACGAAGTGGTGTTCTGGGCCTGAGCAATGCCGGACAAAGACACGGCGGCCACGAGGACCGTTTTCTTCAGCCAAACCATCTTGTCGGGTTGATGTTCGAACAACTGCGGGAGCTTGGATGTGAATCAGGAGGGCCAGGAGGCGAGTGTCGAAGGCTTTGGGAGTAGTTGAGAGATATTAGGCTGGGAGAGGGACCCCCAAAAGAGCGACAAACGCGAGAACAGAAGCCAAGCAACAGTAACGAATGAATGCCCACTTGCCCGGAAGGAAATCCAGGAAAGACGGACGAGAGGAGATGAAGCGAGTGTGAGTTGAGAGCGTGGTAGGGAGAAAAACTTCCCTCTGGAGCAAGGAGAATCTTGGCCGTATTTGAAAGTTTTCCACCGTCGGGGCCAAGACGAGTCCCCGTCAACAAGGCGAGATTACCCCTTTCTCCTGCCGTCTTAGGGCTGCTGTGACCCTTCCCAGAGACCTTGCTCTGGGGAGGTGGAATGTGTGAAATGACGATTCTCAGGTCCAGCCGTGCGCGATGCTTGTCCCCTGAACGCCTCCATTCCAGGCGTCCTTTCCTCTCTGTGCTCCGCGTGCATGCTGGCACGTTCGTGTATGTCCGTATGTGTTTGGTCTGGCCCCTCATTTCAAACTTGGCCTCTTGGTGCGGATTCGATGCGGAATGGCAAAGAGGAAATCGTCCCGTGGCATCCACAGCATGGCTACAGGAGGAGGAGGGAGCTTGGGCCCGCTTCAGTCTGCTCGCCTCACCAACGCGCATCTCCTCTCATCCCATTGGATAGGGATGGGTTCAACGGCTGGATGACCATTGATGGGTGCCAATTGTCACAGGAGTTGAAGAGGCCTGGAGGTCATCAGAGCAGCAGATTCCCCTTTGGTAGAGCTCGTTGGTGGAAGCCGGTACGAGCGGGAGATAGAGGGGAATGCCCGCGATCACTGTACTTTCCACTGCATGCTTGAGCAGACACAACGAGAAGCACGTATCGGGGTCGACGACGAAGAGGTCCAGCTGGGATTTGCACAAGGAATGTGAAGGGGCTGTTGCTGATCCAGGGGTTGACGGGCAACCGGTCTGACGTTGCGGACGGTATTGCGCGCCGTGGTTTACCCACAGACTTGACAGGGGCGAACGGCCCTACCAGGTAACTACCGGTAAAGCATGTGTACCCGGGGGGCGAAACTGGTCCATAGGTAGGTAGTCCAGAGACATTGGTATGTCTCTGCGAAATATAAATGGAACGGAAGCTTGGACGAGTCCAGACTCGTTACCCATCTTCGGGGAATAGTGCGTGCGTGGTGCGATCAACGGTCCTGTTCCTTCTGGGTCAACGTCCTCGACAATCCCTGACTGATGAACGCAGAAAGCTTGCCTCTCAAACATGTGGGCATGTCGTGCGAGAGTGGAGGTCGAACACGTGAAAGAAGACGACGGGTAAGATTCCGGCGAGGCATGAGATGGGATTCCAGACTCGCCAAGTCCCATGCTCGCCCGCCCAAAGCAGCGGAATGCTGTTGATGCTGGCCCGTGGCGATGAGTGGAGGACGGTGTTGTAAGTGGCAGCTTTCAGATCCGGTTGAGGAAAGTTTGTCTCAGCCGAGATACTGCTTCTCATCCAAAGGGAAGCGGGCGCTAGAATGCTTCCTGCTCTCCCTGCATACGCCAGGCCCAACGCGAGGGTGGTCCTCCCTGTTGATATGGTATCGTTAGCCTCATGGCCAACGCCTCTTGCACTGCAACTCAAAGATGGTGGCGCTGATGGCTTCTTTTCTCGCATCTTGCTCCTTCGTGATGCCCAGGCATAAGAACAATCCGTGCCCGCGCTCTCATGCCACAAGGTAATTGCGAATATGACGACGGATTCATTTCTGCTCATTCTGTCCATGAGAAGTCCGATCTGGGGCCCGGCGACCGTCTGCCCAGTCGATAGCGTTATGGCCAAATTTCTCTCGCCTTCCTGTCATGGGCAGGCACTCCATACCAGGCAAACCAAGCTTTGAGCGACACTTGCCCTCGAAACCGTAGGAAGGAGATTGCCTTGCCATCCATGGGGCTAAGCATGCTGGCCACGCGATTGCGCTGGCGAGCTTTTCCCCAATGTCGGTTTGTCGGGTCGTGTCCGCTGCGTGGGTTGCCTCACGAAGCTCAATGACTTCGTCATTCGCAGGTGTATGCACTGACGCCGTCAGGCTGCCGACAGTCAAATCTCTTGTTAATGACTGTATAATCTAGCCACAGAGGCAATTCAATCCCAATGGAACTCCTAGTTACAAGATGTCCGCAGGTATAATCACAGTCCCACAGATGCCTTCTACAATGCAGCAGGACGACGAACACCACCTCACTCCGGGGCCCGATTCTCGTACGCACTCATGCTGGCTAGCATCCCTCCTTTCCCTTGCGTGCCATCCACATCCTCCTGCCAACTGCCGCTCTTCGCGTACCTCAAAATCCCCCTTTCAGGCTAGCGATGTCCTCATGCTGTCTTGGAGACTCCTAGTTTGGATGGATCAAGTAAAAGCTGCATGCCTTGTGATGGCAACGATCAGCCCTCGAACTCAACAACTCCCTTGGCGTTCGCCTCGGGTCTGCCTGCGGGCTCAATGTCGACGAGCTGGCCTTCCTTGCCATTTCCGCTGGCACCGGCTTCGGCATCCGCGCCGTCAAGCAGATCCCGGTCTTCACTCCGAACGCTCCGTCTTTCAATGTCCGCACTTCCACTAGCCGTGCCCTTCCTGATACCGATCTCGACTCCGATGTCTGCGTCATCCTCTTCGTCCTCTTCCTTTTGGCCAGGCAAGGCATTCTTCTCCAAGTCCTTCTGCGCCTCGTCCATTCTTCTGCGAACCTCAGCAGCAACACGCATGCCGTCTGTGACAATGTTGTCGAGCACGCCGCGTAGACCACGGGTAGCTCCCTGGGCGGCAGGGTTCAATGCGGCAACAGGCGCACGTCCGAAGTTGAGACTAGAGAAGGTCGTAAGCGTAGATGTTGGTGTCGATACCGTTGGCAGGCCTTCGATGAGATGGAAGGAGGTTGGGAACGATGATTCGAAAAACTGTTCCAGAAGCTCGTCGGCGAGCACGACCATGCGGAAAGTGGGAAGTGTAATGTGCAAAGGATTTGAAGGATCCAGCGCAGCGTTTGCCGCCTCTGATTGTGCCTTCGAAACACGTCGTTGAGATTGAGCTTCAGCCGGTTGCTTCTCTTCTGGTGGCGATGGCAAGCTGTCTGAAAATTTCTTCGCCTTGGTCGGGCTGCCAGTGGGTGAGTCCATGGCAAGAAGATCTTCCTCATCCTCATCCTCATCCTCATCTTCATCTTCATCTTCATCTTCATCGTCGCCGATAGCGAAGGCGCCGTCAGTGTCCGCAGACTTGGGCTTCTCTTCCTTCTCCTTGTTGGTTTGATTTCGGTTCTGGTTGTGCGGATGATCGGGATCGGCGTACTCAAAGCATCTTCTTATGAATGCGCTGACGCTGCCCAGAAACTTCTCGTTGGTTGAAATACCGGGCAGGCTCGGTTCGGGGCCGTTGTTGCCCATGCCATTGGGCATGTTGAGTGTGAGGCTCGACGCGCTTGGGCTCAGCGTTCCCTCGAGACCTCGCCTTGACAGGAATAAGAGGGATTCAGAGATTCGCAAGATACCCTCGCGATCAACCTTGCCATCGCCATCGTCGTCGTATAGTTCAAAGAAGTATGTAATTGTGCCCATGATGTCTCGCTTGCCCTTGATACTGGCAAAGCCTGCGACGACGTCGGACAAAGTGAGCGCACCTGTGCCGCTAACATCCCATTTCTTGAACAGCAGTTGTATGAATTCGTGGTCCGCAGGCTCTGGGCCAGCGCCCCAAGGAGAGAGCAGTCCATTGTTTTGTCGGGGGCTGGTATAAGCGTTTCTGTCCTTGTCGGCAAAAGTAGTTCGGCGCGGGGTTGTGGGTGCGTCTGAAATGGCCCATTTAGCCATGTTGGCAAGGAATTCTCTGAATGCATCGTAATCCATCAGACTGGTGCTGGCTCCAAGCGCAACCCGTCCTTTCTCGACACCATGGTCAGGGCTATCGTCGAATACATCACGCGCTCTAGGCCGTGCGTTCTTTGCGCGCCGCTGCTTTTCTTGCTGGATGATGCTTTCCCGCTGTTGTCTCTCGTATAGAATGGTATAAAAGCGGTCGTATAACGCACTCAACTCCTCTGGGGCAAGAAGCTTGCTGTCAGGGCCCAAGTTTCGGATCGCCGTTCTCTTCGCAAAACTCTCGATATTGCTGAGAACGGCGTCCTTGTTCTTTAAGCGCAAATCGGTTATGCTGCCATGAGTGATGCCAGAGAACTCCTTGAATGCCACCACCATCAGCTCTTGGAACTTCGTGACAGCGCGCAGCTTGGGATTCTCAGATTTGGGATGCGCCGACTCATCGAGACGTGCGAAGTATGTCTTGAGGATCGAAATGAAGGCGCCGTCATCAGCCGCATCCAAGAGTTCCTCGCCGTTGATCCTCAAGATTGCTAGACCTATTTGGAACAATACCTTGGGGCCCTCGACGAAGAAGACATCCAAAACTCGGAAAGCGAAGACCAGAGGCATGGAGTTGACGTAAAGCGATAGGAACCACGGCAATGAGACGACGGAAAGCTGCACATCGCTCTTAACCAGGTGTTCCCATAAGATCGGCATTGTCTTCTCCACGAGCGACTCAAAGACCTTCTGATCCAGAAGCGTGCCGTACATGGTCGTTGAGTAATATCCTGGAACCAGTCTGTCGCATAGTGAAGACAACAAGAAAAAGGCCTGCGTCTCCGACATGTAGATGAGCAGCGCCGCTACGACAATGTTCATGGCTTGGCAGTAGCCAACGTCAGGATTGACCCAGCTGTAGGCCGTCAAGACTCGTCGGAGGCGACCTATGCCTTCCTCGCTCTGGAAGCCGGGGTATTCTGGAAGACTTCGGTTGAGGTCCTTTTCGATCTCGTCGATAGCGAGAGACTCCTGACCTTCGTACTTGGCCAACGTGTCGTGGTAAAGCGTGGGATTTTCAAGCCTGAGATATATCGATCCGGAAGTCAACTCCC